TACAAAAAATTTAAGGTTCAACAAATTAATTTAATTCAATAATTTTAACTACAGAAATCTATAATATTTAACTAACCAAGAATTAACCAAAAAAAGAAAAGAACTTATCTGTTCGCTGAGCAGAGGGAAATCAAACAACAACAACAAAAAAAAAAAAAAAAAAATCCATTGAAGCTCATGAGGAATGCTGGCAGCCTGTTGAAGGGAAAAAAAAGTTCGTCGAATTGTATGGAGACATTACGGTAGCCTAGAAGTTCTAGTAGATTTTAGGATGAACAAATGAGGTTCCAATACGGCAAGATAAGTGAAATACAGTTCCGGATTTGGAGATACTAGAAGATTATGATGAACAAATGAGGATCTAAACAGGCCAAATAATTGAATACAGTCCCGGATATGGAGATACGAGGAAATTAACAGGAACTAACTTTCAAACCAATTCCCTGACATCTTCAGCGGGAAATGAGGAATCAAATTCTAACAGGTTCCAAAAGCAACGGTTGTAAATTAACGCTCTGTTTCAGAGTAAAGCGACGAATCATATGGGTGAGCTGGGAGCACGCATCATTTTTCTAGAAATTTACTTCTGTATATTTTTCTTGAGATACACAAACACGCACCAAAAAAAAAAAAAAAAAAAAAAAAAAAAAAAAAAAAAACTGATGAAAGAATTTCGAAATTTTTGCGAAGACATAGATGCCCATACCTACGGCCCGCGCTCAAAGCGCTTAGCCAAGAGGCCCGTAGGTCTATCGGGGCGAAGCTCCATTTTCTTCGTCGGAGTCATCTGTCGCCTCCGGCAGATGCAATTCAAAGGGCAAAAGAAGTGTCAAAAAGTGTAAAAGTGACCTCGTCCCCAAAACAACCCGTTAAAAGGGAGCGCGCCGGAACTGCCAAGTTGGCACAACCCATTCCTATTCGCCAAAAGTTAAACCAGTTGCAACAACAGCATTACCTTCATGTTAGCAAACTCGCCAAAACCACCTACTTTGAAACCTCAACGGAAAATTCTAATGTCGCCAAACCCTCGCCAAAATAAACCACCACCTGTGACAGTGGAAGGGGAAATTAGGAATTTCAACAACCCTGCAAGGGTCCCAACGAAAGAACGCTGAAAACTCGCAAAAAGTGACTTTTCAACCGGAAGGAAGGCATTTCATCCCCCTTTAACTAAATCCCAAGCAAACGAAAAAAAAATCTACTAATTAAAGCTCATAACTGAAATACAATTAAAGTTAGAAAAACGAAAGTTATGCCAAATTAAAGGGCTAATTTTTCTGCAACTAATGATATTAAATACTAATTGATTATATTAATAATATAATAAAGAAATCAAATTAATTTTTGACATGAAAAACTGAGTTTATTACGTGAAAAAATTCACTTATCCATTGTTTGCGTGTACAAGACTCAAGACGCAGTTCGCGTAAACTCGGAAAGCCAAAATATATTACACTAGAGTTAATAGGCCCAAAAGGAATATAACCAAACTTGTGTAGCTCAAATTTTGAATAATTACAAATTAAAATTTTGATTTTTATGAATCACTTAATGAAATTAAATTCGCTACACAACATTCGTTCAAAGTAAAAAGTTGCAAGCAAGAGGCGATCGATCTGTCTGCATGGCAGATTTCGTGGTTCTTCCATGTTGTACGTTTCACAAATATTCTCTTAGCCGTAGACATAACAAAATTTCCCACAAATGATGTTTTTAAAAGGCGTGATAGGAATAGATGCTGTATTTAATAGGAAATAAAAATAAGTTCCTATGAAAAAGATAATAATATCTCATTAATTCTATTAGAGTTTATCGATTTATTAGCATATCAGCACTTTATATCGCCATTTCCGGGCTCATATTGCTCCATTTTTAATGAGAATCATTCTTTCTGCGTCTATTTGCTGTCTCTAACTGTAGGTATTTTGTATTCTTTAGATTTCTACGTGATTTGAGAACATTGTCGCGCGTTTTGAAAAACTCTCGTGCATTTAAATATTTTTGAAAAAATAATAAAACAAAGCTAGATTTTTCAAAACTGAAAAATGGCTAGGATTGACTAAGCGGAAAAGTGACAATTGATAAATCGCCAAAATTTTTATTTTTTATTTTTATAATTTTATATTTCCTTTCAAATTTAATGGTATTGTGGAAAATACTCTTTCTTTCTTTTTAGCCTAAAGTAACTTCGTTTTGACATTTTGGGTTGAAAACTTAAATGTCTGTTTCACTTTTCAAATTGTAGCCACTCAATATTATCGCCTTGTGTTATATTTAAAGAAATTAAATAATGGAGAATCTGCATAAATGTATGTATGTTTTTCGCATTGTGATCAAACAACGGTACCTACAGATATCCAATTTTGAATAACGTAATCCTCCACCGAATATGGGTATCTGGGAGCCTTAATTTGGAATTTGTTTTATTATCGATTTCATAATTTGTAACCCGAATTTTAACGAATTTTTGATTAACAAACTCAACAATTTCAGAGCGAGCAATGGCAACACTGTACGGAAAATTATCTCCAGCGCGCGAGACTAGAAATTCTTAAGATATATTCCTTTAAATATATTGTAATATTTCTGTTGAATTGAATTTTATTTTTAGTGCGAAGAACATGATATTTAATAAATAAAGGTGACAGACTAAACGATGAGAAAAACCCTGTACAGAAATTTTTTTAAGCATTTTTTTAAGAAATTGAAAAATAATCATTGTAAAATGTAGTGGTGGTACTAACGTTTTTATGTTTTTGTTTAGCTGGTACGCGTTAGCCAAAAAGTTCAAAACCGCTGGTCTAGATCATTTAGAAAGCTTCTGTTGCGCATTTCCAAGTTTGAAAAAAAATTAGGTTAGTTTGTATAGAAAGGCATTACCAGCTGATCCATGGTACATTGCATCCCCCATACGTTTAGCTGTACCTGAACGTGTACTTTAATTATGCTTCCTGTAAGCTCTTGGTCATATTTCAAGATGTATATATATACCTTGTGGCCATAATTAAACTGACAGTGCTCACAGTGTTCTGTAGCGCGATCTATTTGCGAGAATGACGCCACATTTTGTAGGAAGATTAAACAAGACGGGGGACGAAGGATTCCCCGAAAAAAAATTAGTTCCAAAAGTCAGGGCTAGGGGAATATTTGGCGCTGTGTAATAGAAAATAGAGTGTTAACAAATGCAAATTAATACGGAATAAAATTACCTTTTATTATGGATATGCCTTATGGAATATAGAATATGCCTTTACAGTACGGATATGGAAAATGTCTTACGAAAGATTATCAACTTCTATCCGTACAAGATCAGCCATGTACTGGAGTTACTGTACCCCGACCATGATAAGCGATTGACTTTTGCTCTCACCTTTCTTGCCAGAATGGAGGTGGATGATGCTTGGCCGTGGAAAATCTTATGGGGACACGAGGCCCACTTTTACTTGAACGGAACTGTGAATACTCAGAACTGCCAAATTTGGGATTACAAATCGCCACATGCAGTCACAGCAATTCCCTTACATTCACCAAAGGTAACTGTTTGGTGTGGGTTCACAGCGGAATTTATCGTAGGTCCACTCTCCTATGAGAACTTCACCCCCGACAGGACCGAAAACCTGTTCTGTTACCGGAGAGAAATATTGCCACATGTTGAACAGCTTTGTCATTCTGACACTTCAGCAAAGATGATGCCTGGGGGAAATCATTGTCATGCACTCCACACGTTGCTGTACGGGTGCAACAGATGCTACGACAGAAATTCACAACAGAAAGAGTCATTAGCCGCTACTTTGCAACTACATGGACCACCTCAGTCGCCTGATCTTGCCCCATGCGACTTCTGGCTATGGGGTGACCTTAAGTCTATCAAGGTCTATCAAGGAAGTGGTCCAGGACCTGGACTACGTTGGAAGGATAACATATAACGGACTGTACGGGAGATTCCTTGCAGACATGTTACTTTCTGCTGTTGTGTATACTGTGCACAGAATGCAATATGTGGTCCACAACAACGGCAGCCACATTTAACCTCATTTGAATGCAAAATAAAAGGTAATTTCCTGTATTGATTTGCATTTGTTAACACTCTATTTTCCATTACACAGCGCCAAATATTTCCTAGCGGTGACTTTTTTTAACTATTTTTTTTATTCGCGGAATCCTTCGTCCCCCGTCTTGTTTAATCTTCCTACAAAATGTGACGTCATTCTCGCAAATAGATCGCGCTACAGAACACCGTGAGCACTGTCAGTTTAATTATGGCCACCTGTTATATTAACTGTATTTGATTTACTATTAAATCTATAGGCGGTTGTATAGCCCTTTGTAGTTGCCTTGAGTAAAGAATTAATTAAAATTACTTTTTTTTATGCTTTAACAGAATAATTATTTATAATTTTGTAAGACTTTCACTAAGTGTAATTCTCAATTACTGTAGAAAGTGACGAATCTTAAGAACTAGTTAGCGAATAATCGCTTACGTTCGTGTGGCAAGAAACAACAAGATGGAAGGGTAACTAACCCTTTATTATTCCAGTAAGATTTAACCTAACTCAGTCTTGGAGTGTACAATCAAAGCCGACAGTTGAGCTTGAACTTAAGAGACTAAGAATTAAACTAAAACTAAGATTAACTAAAGAAATATAGCTGAAGCTATCAATTTTCTAAAGCAATTGGCCCCTTAAACACCAGATAACTGCGAAGCTATCAACGGCCTGAGTACGGCCGAGCGTAATAACAGCTTTGAGAGAGAGAGTGGCCAAAAGACAGACGCCCATAAATCAGAAACTCTTATTCTCTCTCGCTAAGACCAAAGAACTTCGCGGTTAAATACCGCTCTTCCTCATTATGTATTCAGACGTGATTCTAAAACTACGTTCTGGCCGGAAGTAGTAAGTTGAAGTTAAGAATTTGACAGGAAAGGAACTTAAAATTTAACTGTTAATAAAATTAACATAATTCTTACAACCTCTATAAATAACATGAATATTACTACTTACCATCAGCGTCTACAGAGAGAGGTATTATATCTGGACTTTTTGCACTGCAATCTTGAAATGCTGTTTCGCTTTTCTTTGATGTTTCGTAGCTAAAGTTAAAAAGAATATTTGAGACAGTGTGCTTAACTTTTTACTAAGTTAATTAATTAAAAGTACATTCAAATAAGCTTTTAAAATGTTATAATACAAAGAATTATATTCCATAAATATCTAAATTACCCATAAAATTTAACAAAAATATAAATTGTGTTTTTTTAACAATGTTTGTTTCTCGAATTAATTTTCTTATGTTAAAGCTATAAAAATGTTACAGCTTTTTTTTATATATTTTAGACGTCAGTTTCTTACACTTATTTTTTCAACAATGAGAATTGAAGGATATATCAGAGGCGTATATAAGCAAAATTTTCTGCTACTGAAAATGAGACACGATTGCTTTCTGTCATCAACTGCGTTAAGCTATTCCCCCCCCCCCATCATCAGGTTATACATCTTATTTGATTTCAAGCTGATAAGAAATATGCTAAAATTCAAAACTTCTATGCCAATGAGTTATCTTTTTGCTTGGAATGTGAAGAAAAATTACTTCTGAAGCAAACATTTATGAGAAAATAAGAAGGAAATTCATTTTTTCTCAAGGTATTTAGTTTTCAAAACTTATTTCTTGAAGCTTATTCTTGTTTTCTCAAATATATTTGAATAATTCTAATCAATTCGATAGCAAAGCTGCCCATCGTAAACAAAACTGCGCAAAAATTCCGACATTAATGTGGACTTTAATGCACTGGCAACATAGGATGGAAAGCAAGCAGGATAAATGTAATAAATCCAATTTATGAGTCCAAATGATTTATAAAATATCGCAGTTTATTAAAAATGCATAAAAAAGGCAAAATAAATGTTTTAATAGAAAAGTATTTTAAATAAGCATTTGTACACTGCAAGAAAATGTGCATTCCCGGATTTAAAGTGAAAGGGTTATGACAGCGAAAAATATAGATTATAAGATTACCTACTAAGTATTTTAATTTCATAGAAACATTATATGCTTTAAATGTCTTTAATAAATGTACATATTTAATAAAAACATAAATGATACATAAATGCTTTTTAAAAATATTGCAAAGAGCATATTTATGTTTTTATACTAAAACCACATAGTTATGTTTTTATGCTAAATTTTTATAAACCACATTATCCTTTTTCTCAAGTTCCTGCATTAAGCTTGATTCAGTTCTGAAAAGATGGTGTCTTGCATGAGCATTATTCCTTGATTAATGGGTTACTGCAAGTAAAACAACCGATTTTAGTGTAATCTAAAAAAATTTTAATGCATAGTTACCAATGTGTGACATGTTCAGTCATAGCAGGTTCTTAAAAACCGGGGTCTCTAGAAATAATGAAGTTCCGCACTGCCGAACTGATGGATGCGTCATAGGCAAGGTATATGTGGACAAAAATCATTGCCCAAAACCAGAAAAAACGGCCAATCTACTGGGGAAACGGAAGGAGAGTGGGGAGGATGATGCATAATTTCTTATCCAAAGTTATTAATTTGCTGTATGTTTGAAAGTGAGCGCCGCCTGGTATAACCATTGACTTGACTTTGTTCTAGAAGTCTTACAGTGTTAGAAGTCATCCTGACAGAAGGGATTATTTCTTCGATATATAACTCTTACATGGGCATACAAGATCTATGCATAAGCATACATATGTTAATTACAAACATTGTCTTGCATACAGTTACTTGAGATATTTGGTTATATTCATGACAGTTATGTGTACATTTAAACATTATGTGTCCTATGTAGTAGGTCTTTAGGTTCAAGCAATGGGATTCCGAGTTCATTCGAAGGTAATTTCACTTGCAGCAATCTGATACACAGATGTACAAAAATTTTTAACATTGGGCATGCATATGAAAAATATTGCAACTTACTTATTTTCCTCTTTCTTACTGAAGTTTCCTGTAAGGAAAAAAATGTCATTCATTTCATGATATTTACCTTATTCGAACGTTTTTTCGCAATATCTGTATTATATAAAACTTAGGACTTTAAAATGGATTTCGAAGTGTTTTTGAGGAATAATGTATGTTCATAAAACACTTAATGGAGAAACATAATCTGTTCTCTTCAAAAATATTGCCATAAGAATTAAATTCTCAGTATACTGATCACTTTCTTTTATTTATGATATAAATTTTAATTTATGGGTTCATATCTATATGTGCATATTTATACAGAATGATTTAGAATATTAAACCACGTTTTGAAATAATGTTGCAGATCAGTAACGTTTTAAGTGAGAAATACACTACTCGACATTGAAAATGCAACACCAAGAAGAAGTGGTCAGAAAGTGATGAAATTTGGAAAAAAGACAGAGACAGCAAGCATCAATGAGTGATCTTTATTTCAAAATGATAGTAAGAATACAGAGCGAGACCGGCGTCGGCTCAGTAGGATGTAGGACCACCGAAGACAGCGCTGCACGAAGAACACGTCTAGGCATAGAATCAATAAGAGTGCGGATGGTGTCATGAGGGATGGATCTCCATTCCCTTTCAACCATTTGCCACAGTTCGTCTTCTGAACGAGGCAGGGGAAGAGTCTGCAAACGGCGTCCAATTACATCCCACACATGTTCGATTGGTGAAGGTCAGGAGAGTACGGTGGCCAGGGAAGCGTCTGTATACCTTGCAGAGCATGTTAGCAGATGCGAGCACTGTGTGGTCGGGCATTATCCTGCTGAAAAATTGAGGTGACCTGGAATTGTAGGCAATAGCGCCCCAAACCTTTATGCCACGTTGTCGCGCGGTGGGGCGTTCCACAGTTACTGCCGGATTAGATCTGTCTCGACGCCGACGCTGCACACGTATGCAGCGACTGTCACTGGATAAACAGAAGCGTGACTCATCTGAGAACACGACGTTTCGCCATTCTGTCATCCACATCCCTCCAGTTCGACACCATTCTAAACGTCGGCGTCTATGCTGTGGGGTCATGGCAGTCTTCTTAACGGATGTCGTGAGTGCAGGCCACATTCAAACAATCGACGGGAAATGTTTCTGGTCGACACGGGAACATCCAGGGTATCCTGCACATGCTGCAGAATCGCGGTACAAGTGACTTGCGGGACCGCCACAGCTTGTCGGTGGATACTTCGATCCACGAGTGCTGACGTCACTCTGGCTGCACCTGCACCCTTCTTTCTTCCCACATTTCCTTGTTCCAACCATGTTCGACATAGCCGATGCACCGTGCTCGCATCCATATGGGTATCAGCTGCGATTTGACGTAAGGCCGAACCCGCCCTTCATAGCCCGATCACCATACCCCTTGTAAAATCGTCTATCTGCTGGAAGTGCCTTCGTTGATGGCGGCCTAGCATTCTCTCCTATTACAGATCACCTCCGGGACAAAAACCAATAAACCAATTTTGATAATTCGTCTGGCAGAAATAACGACACGAATATTGCCCATTCTGCACGTCCCTTCCCTTATATCTTACTCCACGTGCTTCGGAGAGCTGCGCATTTCACATCGTTCGCATAACTCAGTGTCGTGCTTCTACTCTAAAATTTGCATAAATTTCTGACCACTCCTTCTTGGAGTTGCATTTTCAATGTCGAGCAGTGTAAATTAGCAACAGTTTAAAAGTAACCGATAACACTAATAACAAAAGCAATTATTTTATGCCGAAGAAAAACAATTTTCTCATGAATAATATTAAAAGAAGCGGAATTCAAATAAATCTAGGAATAAGAGTGGTATTCTAATTGTTTGGTATAAAATGCTATGAGTTACGAGATGTAATGGCACTGGTTCCAAAATAAAACTAAGTAAGTAGGCCACACAAATATTTAATTATTTACATAATGTACAAGGTTACAAGTTAGGTGCTATATTAGCCCAGACAAAGTGGAACGAGCGAACGCACCATAGGTCCGCTGCGTACATTCTTAAACAACCAATTAAACTAAATTTGGCTCCTCTCACAAGAGGACGCTATATTAAACCGAACACTAACTAAATCGTTTTTTCATAGACAGGAGACTAAAAATACAAAAGGAGCCTGATTAAATACATTTGCGTATTTTCTAATATTAAATATGATAGTCGTCTGAAACAAGTTCTAATATTAAATATGTTAATCAGTCATGTTAAATATGCTTGTCAAATGAAACATTAAAAAACAGTAGTGCATCTTGATAAGACAGCAAACTCTCTCTATATATATACTCGTATATGCCTATATATACATTAGGCCTATATATACATACTATATATATATATGCCTAATAATATTATAGATATATATGACTAATGTGTATATATATATACGTCTAATGTAGCAACAAGGACCTATTAAAGATGATCTACAAATTTAATCGATCGACAAAGAATGCTTTTTTTTTCAATCCAGAACCTTGTATAGGCTGTCCTGTCTTTCTAGCAGCACCACGAGAGTTTTTATGCTATTATTCTAGTGTGAAGTGCACTGACAAACAATGAATACATGGTTCATTGTTGGCTTTTGCAGATAGATCTTCACACGCCCAAACTCATTTGTGTGGCTTGGGTTCCTGTATTTATCCTCGTAAATACTTGCAAAAGACTTGTTGAAACGACTTAACGGCATTCTTCTCATGCGTTCCTGTGATTTAATGGTTATCAGATTCATCCAACTGGCAGGACATAAGTTCATTTTTAACTAAGTACACGATAGAGCTTTCAATATTTTTTACTCATATTAGGAAAAATCCCTAATGATTGCAATGGCTTCTGAATTAAAATATTGTGGACAACAATTCTTCGCTATGAGCCTTCGTGGGTCTCCAAAGACTGCGCTGCGTAGGAAGCAGATGCGAAAAATTCATGTTTCAAGTTTTATTAGATTTCTCTAGAACGCAGCAAGAGCTGAGCTGCTCGCAGATATACTGACAAAGTCTTTGAATTAGTTTGACGAAACATTAATAACGTTCAATGACAAGCAGAGGTCACAAGGACAACTGAATGGCGTAATCCTCAGGAAAAAAATCCGCTATCTCTGAAGCCCAAGAAATGTGCGATTGAGTATGCTGTGAAATCCATCATCGACGACTCCAAGCCAGCATCCGGTAATCATATCTGAGCCACCAATTTGAAACCTACCTGTCTCCGGACATAACTCTGAGAAATAACTGTGGTTATAAGCCTTTCATAAAAGCCATGACAAGAGAGGAAAGAAACCCATCCAAAGAAAACCTCACAGGAGAGCCTTGGATGAAGCACACAAAGGAATTCGTCATGCGTACTTTCTAATCAGAGCCGGTAGTCGAACTATCTATCGTATTTCCTTCTTCCAACACTCGGCTTTTAATTATAAAGAAATAAGAGGAATTAAGTATCTTAAACTCAGGCATCCATTTGGTGTAGTAGTCAGCCCATTCAGCTGAAAAATAGCTTGGTTTCAATTTTGGTGAAGATATAGGTTATATTTATTTAAATTTCTAGTTTGCAAAAACCTTAGTGACTATAAAACACGGTGGGGGTCATGTTTGCCTTATTACGGCAATTTGAAAGCTTATTTAGGAGTCGTACATTAGACACTAACAATGCCAAGTAGCATACTATTGGATACAAATTTGTTAGGAGAAGGGCGGGATTGATTTAACGGGTAGAAGAAAGAATAATTCTGATTTGACATATGTGTAATGGAAGTTGACCAAACAATGCGAAATGAGAGGAGCTATTGAACACTAATTATTAATTTACACACTCTCATAAAATGGTGAATTCTTTTATTGAAGACAAGTTAACATTACCCAAAAGTATATAATACATTTATTTAACCCCTTCGCGCCGACTGTCACGTATACGTGCCAGCAACGAACACACTTACCTACCGGCCGACACACAGGCGTGCCAGAGGATTGTTCCGTTCTCTACGACTGTCACGTATTTGTGCCAGTACTTTGGAACGTTTGTAGAACTATAATTTCTGCCACAAGATGGCACTGTATGTACCTATGGTTTCAGATACATGTACATTAGACATTCTACTCGAAATGAGAGAAGCATGACTCACATACACGTGTTTTTGATTATATAAACAAACGCGGAAATAAATGTTTCCGAATGCCGTGATTTATGATGTCTCTTTAAATCGCACTTTATTCGCACGTCGTAGTTGTTTACTGTAAGTAGAGAAGTTTTATTTGCTCTAAAGCGTTGATTTCGGTTTGCAGTTCAGTTTTTAGAAAATAATTAGATCTTAAGACACAATAACACGCCGAATAAATACTAATTCAGAAGTCAAACAACAAAAATCAGCGTTAATTTACAAAATTTTCACAGGACTAGTTTCGATGGTTTTACCGAACCATCATCTTCAGCTGCAAAACCGCAAATGAAAAAGATAGGAAATAATGTTTAGATAAGATAAGTAAACCTGGACAAGAATAAGCAAGTGGCGCCATCTGTTGGCGAAACCAGAACTAAAACATAATTTCTCTAAAAGCCGAAGGCAAATTTGGATTGGAATTAGGATCGTTAACTAGAACAGAAAGATTTTTATGAATGTGAAATGCCTCTAGAAAATCCAGTTCTCCAATGGAAGATGTTTTTTGAATAATTTTGGCAGCAGAAAAATTGAAAGTGTGATTTTCGGACCACAATGTTGAGCAACAGAAGACTTCTGTGTTTCCTTTTTTCTAACATATGCCTCATGTTCTTTGACGCGAAATTTTAAGGCTCTCTTAGTTTGGCCAATGTAAATTAAACCGCACTGGCAAGGAATCCTATAAATACCCCAGGAATTCATATCCGGAATGGGGTCCTTGAGTATAGAAGTTGGAATTTTATTGATGGGAGAGTAAAACAAACCGAAAGTTAAATTTCTGAAAAATATGTGCAACTTTATAGCTAATTGATGGAAAGAAGGGATGACAACAGAATTTCTATAATCTCCTAAAATAAGAGTGTG